ATAATCCAGGATAATCTCCCTATCTCAAGATTTTTAGTGTAATAACAGCTATAAAGTCCCTTTTACCACGTAAGAAAATGTATTCACAGTTTCTAAGAATTAGGAGGAACATCTTTGGGGAGATATTATTCAGCCTAACGCACTGCCCAATATGGAGTAAGAGGGTAATAAATGTTTCTTTAGTTATTTACTTTATCATTCCTGCTAACTGGGCTCATATTTTAAATACTAAAGTGAATAAGAAATTCCATATAAACATTCCTTTTTTTTTTATTTCCAATACTTGGATCACCTACTAATCATGTGAAACTTGCATTTGTGGCAGATAGGAAAATTCACTTGAACAGCTGAGAACTACAGAAATATGTGATTTCAGTTGCCAGCTCAATTTCTTCTTGTTAAACCTCGAAAATTTGACATTTGAAAGAGAAAGGCTGTGTAACAATTCCACTTCATAAAATATTCTTCCAGTTTGGGAACATAGGATTTTACAAGTTTCCAAATGTCCTCTAATCAAGCTTTAAAATAGGGAGTTGAACACACACAAAAAAATGGGAGTGCCTTGTAAAGGATGGTGACAAGGGTTTTCCAATTCTTTACATGCTCTTTGAGAAAATGTTTAAACAGAAAAAACAAGTGATGCCCTTTCTGAGTTAAAACAGTTCCAGTTGCTTCAACAGATTGAGCAACCACTTACTGAAATTCTGCCTCCTAGAAGTACCCCCAGTGCCCTCTTATTCATGGAAAAGTCTGTAATATTAATCAGCTATGATTCTACAAAAACTGGGGCCAAACATAAAGAGTTCAGCGCTGGGGCACATGAGCTCCACATGATATGTGCATGAGTGATCTCCCCACACTGTTCAAGGGGCCCCAGTATTTCCAGTCTCCCCACCACCACCCTCCAGCTTTTCTGCTGCCCTGCTCCTGGACTGCTGTGCTCCATGAACTTCTGTATATCTCAAGTTCATTTTAAATAGCTTGGTATGTTGACATAGTGGTACAGTAATCCCCTATCTTGGGGGCAAATGTGTTCAGAATTTTTGGATTTTTAGAAAGGAAATACAGAGTAAATACCATATATTAAGTTAACCTTCCCAGTGGGTCTGGGTCAGTCTCCCTTAATATTTCTGCAGCAAAATCTGTAAATATTCTTACCAAGTAGAATTACCTGAGATTATAAAAAAAAATTTCACAAGGGTTTAACATCCAAAATATATAAAAAACCCATAAAGCTCAATATCAAAACACAATCTGATTAAAAAATAGGTGGGGAACCTCAATAGACACTTTTCCAAAAAAGACATACAGATGGCCAACAGGCACATGAAAAAAATGTTCAATGTCACTAACCATCAGGGAGATGCAAATCAAAACCACAATGAGATATCACCTCACACCTGTCAGAATGGCTATTATCAAGAAATAACAAGTGTTAGTGAGAATGTGGAGAAATGGGAACCCTCATGTAGTGTTAGTGGAAATATAAATTGGTGTAGCCACTATGGAAAACAGTATGGAGTTTCCTCAAAAAAATAAAAAATAGAACTACTGTATGATCCAACAACTCCACTTCCAGGTATTTACCTGAAGAAAACAAAAACACTAATTTGAAAAGACATATGAACCTCTGTGTTCATTGCTGCATTATTTACAATAGCGAAGATATGAAAGCAACATAAATATCTATCGATGGATGAATGGGTAAAGAAGATGTGGTATATGTGTGTATGTGTGTGTGTGTGTGTGTGTGTGTGTAATGGAATATTACTCAGCCATAAGAAGGAATGAAATCTTGCCATTTGCAACAACATGGGTGAACCTAGAGGGTATTATGCTAAATGAAATAAATCAAAGACAATTTCCATATGACTTATTTACAAGTGGAATCTAAAAAACAAATGAACAAATAAAACAAAATGGAAACTGTCTCGGTAGATACAGAGAACAAACTGATGGTTGCTAGAGAGGACAGAGGAAAGATGATGAGCAAAATAAGTGAAGGGGATTAAGAGGTACAATCTTCCAATTATAAAACAAATAAGCCATGGGGATGTCATGTGCAGTGTAGGGAATATGATCAATAATATTGTAATAATTTTGTATGATTACAGATGGTAACCAGATTTATTTTGGTGATCATTTAGTAATATTTATAAACATCAAATCACTATGTTCTATACCTGAAATTAATACAATATTGTATGTCAATTATTCTTCAATTCAAAAAAAAACTGTCCCATCAATTCAGGTTAGCTTTTGTTGACAAATTAGTTTTAGAATTAAACTTGCTAAAAAGGATACAGTATTCAAAGCTTTTTGGACTTTAGCATTTCAGATAAGGGGTTATGAACCTGTATTACAAGTTGGCAAGGGGGTGGCTGTTTTGTGTTGTTTTTTCAAAATTTTTCATTGTTTACCATCCAAATGGAAACTCAGTGAAAACTCCAAACTCCTAGAATCAGGAGGGTAGAGATTCAGTGGGTATAGTTAAGGAAAGACCATTCCAGGCAGGAGGAAGAGCTTAAGAAAATTCCCACAGAGGTGGAAAATTGCAGAGTATGTTTAAAAAGTAGAGGGTTATGTGCTTAGGGAATTACATGGAGCAATTGCATGGGTCATATGCATAGGGGAATTTCAGCCTGTAATGTTCCAGAGATGAATTAAGACTAAGTCAGATAAAATATGGAATGATATAAGAAGGAGTGTACACTATATGTTGAGTCTTGGGATGACTAAAATAATTTTTTATGAGGGGCACTTGGGTGACTCAGTCAGTTGTGACCGACTCTTGGTTTTGGCTCAGGTCATGATCTCGGGGTTGTGAGATCAAGCTCCCAGATTAGGGCTCTGTGCTCAGTGGGGAGTCTGCTTGGGATTTTTTTTCTCTCTCCTTTTCCCTCGTCTCCCCCTCTTCTCAAATAAATAAATCTTTAAAAAAATTTTTTTTAAATCTTGCTTTGTTTTTAGCAGGAGATGATACAAGCCAACATGACTGAGGCAAAGCTTTAGGCAAATTCCTGGGGTGGCATTTTGTACAAGGGATTAATGGACAGAGAACAAGTGAAAATAGGTAGACCCAGCAAGGGTATATCAAAAAGTCCTTGATGAGAATGATAAATCTCTAAAGCCGGGCAGAGGCAGAGAAAATGGCCAGGAGGGAGAAGTTAAAGAGACATAAGTGGAACGGATCATAGTTAGCAACCAATTAGATGCAGGAAGCAAAGAAAAGAGATTCAAAGATTACTCTTAGTTTTTAGTCCTTGGGGGTGTGATGGTGCTGGAGAAAAGAGAAGGTATAGATAGATGATGGATGAGGAAGGCGGGAAATTATTAGTTCACGTTGAAACTAAACAACAAATTAACTTCTGTTCAAAGTCAGAAAAAAAAAAAAAAAACTGGCCAGTGATGTCAAGAAAGTAGACATTCAACCAGCAGCAGTTAGTCAGGGGAGCTAATGTCTTTAGAATCGAGCAATGGACCTGCTAATCTTGCATTGTCCCTATCTGGGGGAGACATGAGGTGCAGCTGCGTTTCACAATGTCCAACTTAGCCCACCTTACAGAAAATGAACCTTGCAAGTACACAAGCCCAGCTAGCAGTTGTTATTGCAGGTTGTTCTTACTATGTAGGAAATTAGATAACTTACTCAAATGGAACTCCTGCCGATCAGTGAAGGCACAGCAGCTGAAAGGGATGAGCAAGCAGGTGCCTTCACTCAGGACTCTGCAAGTGCTCATGTTGCATTTCCAAGACCCTGACAGTCAACATCTCCTTAAATTCTGCACCTTAGGCACATCACTGGCCTCACCTAGTCCCAACCATAGGAGTAATGTGAAATATTTTCCAGGACAAAGTAGCGATAGAGGTTCTTTATTAAGAAACCTTTATGTTGTAGCACAGGGGTCACAAAACTTTTCTTGGGAAGTACCAGGTAGCAAATATTTTAGGCTTTGCAGGCTCTGTGATCTCTGCCCCAACTACTCAATTCTGCCATTGTAGTGGGAAAGCAACTACAGACTAAATGTAGTGAATGGGCATAGCTGTGCTGCAATAAAACTTTATTTACAAAAATAGGAGTCAGGCCAAATTTGGCCCTCGGGTCATAGTTTGCCAACCCTGGTGTATGGAAGGAACTAGCCAGACCTTAGGTTTAAATTCCAGATCCACCGTTAACAAAATACCTGGATTTGGACACGCACCACTGTAAAATGTGACTAATTATACCTTCCTCACTGACTGTGGGAATTAGAAAAAAAGTATGTAAAATGCCTCATAAATAAAAGGCATTCAAATAGGGCAGTAGTCTTTTTAATTACAAAACTTAAGAATAATAGCTAATACTTTTTGAATGTCTTTATGATATACCAGCTACTGTATAAAGCACTTTACAAAGATTATTGCATTTAATCTTCCAACAACTCTCTGAACTAAGAACTATTTGAGTATTCCTTTCTACTTGTGGGGAAACTGAGGCACAAAAAAATGCCTCAGAGATGCTTCCACAGATAGCAAGTGATATAGCTGGCCCTTTGTTCCCAGTTAAGCAGACTCCAGATGCTCGGTGCTAATCTCTGTGCTAAGTTAATTTGCTCCACTAATTCAGCTCCAATTGAAATGCCCAAAATCTTCTCAAGTTCTGCAGGGCTTTTTGTAACTCTTCACAGCATAACACGACTGAAAATAGTTTAATACATAACTTTTGGAAATTCACCTTCAGGTTAACACTCAGTAATATCTTCCATAAGTGAAACCCTTATTCCCACCCCTTCCTGCCCATCCATTTGTCCCCTCCCAACACATGTCTCCAGTTCAGGGAAAACAGAATTATTATTAAGAAAGCTAATGCAAACCCATTTCAAAAAATTTATCCTATAATCACCCTAAAAACTTGCAATTTCAAAGCTCCACTGCAGAATAGCATACTGGATTAATTATGCCAGACTGCAGCAATAACCTTGAATTAAAGCTGCAACCTTCTATTTTTAAGAAACACTTGCCTTTCTGGTTGATGAAACCTGTCGTCCCATCAGGTAACAGACGTGACCAGGAAAGAGAGAAGCGGTAATGAGTCAATCCAAGCTGTTTGATACATTTCAAATCTTCCTCCCACAGAGTGTAGCTGCCACAAGCTACATCGCCAGTCTGGTTCTTGAAAACTCTCTCTCCTCCCTGATGGGTGAATGTGTCCCAGACACTAGGGCCTTTTCCATCTGCATCCCAGTCTCCTGAGAAAAAGAAGAAAATGAAACAGTTACACTTTTGACATCAAGAGGCATATGTGGAATGTAAATATTTGTCACCAAAAGAACATACCTCATTAACTCAATGTACCATATTTATAACTTTAAAATATGCCTTTAAAATAACATGCATGAGTGAGTTCTGTGTTTAGCTGTCCCTGATCCCTGAAGCTGACTGGTGGCAAATGAAAAATTATTGCATAGTGCTGCTGCATAGCAGGCTTTCATGGTTCATTTTCTGAAGATTTCCCAGCTGGTAAACAGAGGCAGGCCCCAGCTTATGAATGTCTGAGTTGCAACTATCTCCTCCTGGCCATGACTGACAAGCCTTGTCCTTGTTGTGCCTGACAGAGTCTCAGGACCTTGTCTTTGTTCCTCTACACTTGAACTCCATTCTCCTGTTAGCTAACAGTGGAGCCTGCAATGGTCCAGTCAATTATTGTGGGGAGGGCACTAGCTTCTGCCATTGTTGACATATTAGTATCCTACCTTCGTTCATTCATGCCTCCATTAATTCCACAAATGTTATATATCAGGCTCTGTGCTGAGCACAGGAGACAACAGGGTGCACTCTGCTGGGCTTCCTGTCCTTGGAGAACTTAGCTATGGGCAATTACACAACAGCCGGGGCAAAAGCCTTGCCAGAAAACCAAGGAGGGGCATTCATCCAGATGTGGGCTACAGTCGGAGGTCTCTTAGGGAAATGACTTTTAGATGGACACCTAAAGGAAAAATTGGGTCATCAGGGTGAATTGCTGGGAGGTGGGAATGGGGATGAAATAGAAAAAAAGAGAAGTTGGATCCAAATAAGCCCACAGGAAAGAGAGAGTGTTGCACATTAAAAGAGCAGAAAGTAAACATTACATTACATTTGGAATATCTGTACACATAGAAATCTTATTTAAAATGTAGTTAGAATCCATTTTATGGTATAAAGGAGTAATTTTAAAAATCTCATGACTCCCGAATTTCACTTCTAGGTAACACCCTGGAGAAATGTTCATGTATTTTCACAAAAAGATTATGGGAGATCATTGAGGCAGAGATGTCTGTAATAACAAACTCCTGGAAACAACTCACATTCTACCAACAGTAGAACAGATAATTAATTTGAGGTATAGTCACACAGAGGAAACACGAATCAGCAGTTAAAGGGAAAGGATCAGAGCATCAGTAACCCTATGCTATAGATGGAATGTTTGTATCCCCCCAAATTTATGTTGAAATCCTAATGCCAATGTGATGGTAGGAGGAAGTAGGGTCTTTGGCAGGTGCTTAAAGTCATGAGGGTGGAACCCCCAGGAATGAGTTAGTGCCCTTATAAAAGACCCCACAGAGTTCCCCAGTTCCTTGTGCCATGTGAAAATGCAGATGTCTGTGATGCAGAAGAGGGCCCTCAACCAGCCATGCTATCACTCTCACCTCAGACTTGCAGCCTCCAGAATTGTGAGAAATAAATATTTGTTGTTTATAAGCTATCCAGTTTATGGTGTTTTATTATAGGCCTCCAAATGGACTCAGCCTCAAAACAATAAAGCTATACAACCAAAAAAAAAAAATTGAGATTTAAGAGAATGTATACAGGGATAAATGGTAGAATTTAGATTTTTAGGGCAGTAAAATTGTTCTACATGATACTGTAATGGTAGATATATTTATCAAAACCTTATAAACTGTGAACTTTAATAATAATGTATTGATATTCATTCATTGGTTGTAATGATTGCCTCACAGTAATGCAAGATGCTACTAGTAGTGGAAACTGGGGAATGGGGTATTTGGAAACTCTCAGTACGTTCTGCTCAATTTTTCTGTAAACCTAAAATTATTCTAAAATATAAAGTCTACTGATATTTTAAAGAATATATATGTTTATCATGTTTTGTATATTTCAAACATGTAAAACAATCCATGTATATTCTGAACATATACATATGAGATAAACATACAACATGCCTGGAAATTATCAATTCAGGCTAGTGGTTACCTTTGTGGAGAAAAAAGGGTAATAGAACCAGAAAAGAGTTTGACTGCACCTCTTCTGTTTCATTCCTTAAACTGGGTTAGGGGTACTTGGGGAGCTGTTTATTACACTATTCACAACTCTTTTTATATGCCTAAAATATTTCATAATGATTTTTAGATAAGAAAGAAGGTCACAGATAAACTAAACAATTACAGGAAGGTCTTTCAGGTCCTCATTTAGCATCTACTTACTCATATCTTGTGCACAATTCAAACTGAATAAGGTACTAGTTTTTAGACCAACAAAAGGACAGCACAGGCTACAAATTATGGGAAGGGACCATGGGGAGACAGCAGAGATGGTAAAAGAAGGAGTTCTGACAAAAGCAAAAATGACAGTTGAAATCAGGGTAGATACTAAGTATACAAAGAAATCATGAATATTAAAAAATTATTGTACTCTGAAGTAATAATTTAGCGGCAAAAGTGCGTCATTGATCTGGTGGGATAGTAGGTAACTCAAAAACAAAGTGAGAGAGGTAATTCAGAGGCACAAATGAGTAGCGATGCAGGCTTTTGTCCTGAGAGCATCTGCCCAGCCCAGATGATGTGAGCTGCCATTTTAATGGTCTTGTGGGACAAGGTGGAAAGGAGACAAAGTCTAAAGCTTACCAAGGATGGGAAGCCTCCACGAACATGCTTACATCAGGCTGGCAATGAAAGGGCTCCACACTCTGTACAAGAATAAGGAAGAAACAAACCCCACCTGCGAAAGAGACAACAAAGCAACCAGCTTGACCCACAGGTGGGTGGAAGGGACTCCTCAATGGTTGCAACAACGGTCCAGCCCTCCAACCATTGAATAAGTGTGAGAATGAAAGAAGATATTGTCAGACATATGAGCTCTCATTGGATACTGAGAAAAAACCTTCATCTCATTGGATACTACAGGAGGATACGTTTCACCAGAATAATCATGTAGACCAAGAAAGATAAAAATCTAGGATCCAGGAAACAGGTTTTCAGCAGAAAAAAATCAAGAAAGGGAAAGCTCCGGGCTAATGATAAAAAGAGACCTCCAAGGACATCCCTGTGCAGCAAACCCAGGGACTAACCAGCCCATGTAAGCACATCACAGGCTGTAGGAAATAGTTCTGCAAGAAGATTAAACTAATAGAATATCTAGTACGATTTTTTTAAAGATTTATTCTTTTATTTGAGATAGAGAGAGAGTGAGAGTGAGAGAGCATGAGTGGGGGGGGGAGGGGCAGAGGGAGAAAGAGATGCAGGCTCTCCACTGAGTGGGGAGCCTGATGAGGAGCTCAATCCCAGGACCCTGAGATCATGACCTGAGCCGAAGGTAGACGCTTAAACAACTAAGCCACCCAGGTGCCCCTAGTATGATTTTTTTAAATATAAAAACGTATTATGAGAGGCACCTGGGTGGCTCGGTTCATTAAGCAGCCAACTCTTGATTTCGGCTCAGGTCATGATCTCAGAGTTGTGATATTGGGCCCCATACGGGGCTCTGCACTCAGTGGGGAGTCTGCTGGAGATTCTCTCTCTCTCTCCCTCCCCCTCTGCCCCTCCCCACCAAATAAATGTTTAAAAATTTATTACAGAATTGTCAACATGCACAAAAGTAGACAGAATAATACAGCAAAGCCCTGTGTACCCATGGCTCAGCTTTAGCAGTTTTCAACATGGTGCCAATCTTGTTTCATTTGTATCCACCCAAGCGCCTTCATTCAATCTGTAAACATTGCAGTATGTGCTCTAACTGACAAGAATATTTTTTAATTGTGGTAAAATACACATAACGTAAGACTAACCATCTTAACTACCTCTAAGTATACAGTTCAGTGACATTAAGTACACTCATGTTGTTGTGAAACCATCACCACATCCATCTCCAGAACTCTTCATCTTGCAAAACTGAAACTCTATACCAAGTTAGCAGTAATTCCCCACTTTTTATGGTATTGGAATCGTACATGGGGGTCAGTGAAAGCAGAAAGGTAGAAGGAGAGAAAGTGGACAAATGGGTAAATCCTCACTTTTCACAGTGAGAAATCAATAGATTATGCCTACAACAGGACTAAAATCAAGAACTAATAATATAAGCATGTTTAAAATACAGTAGTCAATGCCAAAAGGATTAACTGAAACAGTTAAAGGGGTTTCCTCTAGGGAGAGGAACGTGGAAGGGGACCAGGGATTGATGGTTTCTGAAACAGTCTCATTTTGACTCTTTAAATTATTTTATTATATAAACTTGAATTAGCATGAAAATTAAAGAAATAATATTAAGTGAAACATTAGAAGAGGATGATAAATAAAGACATTAATAAATATATGGATAATCTAAACAAGCTCTTAACATATAAAAGGATAACAAAATGTCTATTTTGTGAGAATTAAAAGAATAGATAGAACTAAAATACTGAACCAAAACAACATATAAGCACAAAAGGGAGAAATCAGAGTTAAAGTGTTCTCAAGTCCAAACTGGAATTTATTGTTTTAAAGAAGAGTCCAATGCATCTATAGCAAAAGTTCTGTACCAGGCTCAATTCTACACATTATATATATGTTAACCCTTCACAAAAATAATATGAAGTAACGGCCATTATCACCCCCATTTTCAGATAAGGAAACTGAGTGAACAGGGTAAGTAACTTGCTCAGATTAGCATATACTAAAGCTGAGATCCTAACCCAGGCAATTGAATTTCAGAGCCCATACCCTTAACTGGCAGACTAGATGGGGAAAACTAAATAAATAAACTAAAAGAAGGATAAGAAAATCAGAAAAAATAAGCAAAGACAGGGTAAGAAAAATAAAAGCATAATCCATAAAATAAGATGGTATGACAAGATATAAATTATCACTTATAACAATATAAGTCAATGCACAGTATTCCTCAGATAAAAGACAAAGATTACCAGATCAGATATTTTTTTTTTTAAATATCGAGTGGTATACTGATTACCAATATACCTAAGATATAAAAATACAGA